TATTTAAATACAAGCTTTTTAAATAAAGTTTTGTCGGTAAATCCCTTTTCGACTTGTAATCAGACGCATAGAGAAGAAAAATTTGTATTCTGTGTGATTTAATACTGAGCAGCCTATAATCAATTCGAACAGTTAATTGGTTAATTAAGTGAATTAACTCCATTTGACATTACTTTAGTTTTTGACATCTCTATCTAAGCATTTAGAAACGTTCTTTATTTTCTAGATTATATCTTTAATTTGAATATAAAAAAACTAAAATAGAACAAACACACACACACACACAAAATAAATATAATTAAATCAAATATAAACATATTTATATCTTTTAAATCTTTTTTTATAGGACTTGGAAACATGGAGCATGATGATAGTGATTGTGATTTAGACATCCTGAATAATCTTATATCAAATGACACGGAAGAAACTGAGCAATCTAAGCAGGTTGAAGAAATTAAACAGCCTGATCTACCAAAGCCAAGTAATACTCTAACAGAATTGCAGTTCAGTTTCTTAGATTCTGCATCTAGTAACATAAGTAATGAAAATAAACCAATTGATGAGAAAATCAATGAAATTTATGATGACAAGCTTGATTCTTCTGACGATGAAGACAGGCGTTATTTTGAAGAACAAAAGTATTCTAATTATGGACGAGAGTTAAAACAATTATTAAAAGAACGTTCTTCATTAAAGACTGAGCAGCCTGTAAGATTACAAAGTGCAAAGACTGTTAATTTTAATAATAAGAGTAAAACATTTGATTTCAATAATGCCATAAAAGGTAATGATAATAGTACAACAAAAGATATCTATAGTGATCCCTTCTTTGGAATAAGAATAGTTAATCCCCTTGTATCCTCTGCTGAATTGAAAGAACGTATGAAAGACAAAATACCTGTAACAATATCAAAAGTGAAGTGCCACATTATTTCTGATAATGTACGTAATGACTGGGTAATTGCCGGTGTGTTAATCAACAAATCAACCACGAGAACCTCACAAAAGGGAACTTCTTACTGTATCTGGAAAATAAGTGATCTGTCTGACGATGTAAAGACTGTGTCAATTTTTTTATTCAGTAATGCCTATAAACAACTATGGAAAACCATCGTTGGCAGCGTGATAGGTATTCTCAATCCAAACGTGCTCGAGAGTAAGGATAATATCGATCAAGCGTCGCTGTCGATCGACAATCCTCAAAAGATGATGATTCTTGGCAGGTCTAAAGATATGGGCAAATGCAAGTCGGTCAAAAAGAATGGTGATCCGTGTACCGCAATTGTAAATACAAGTCGATGCGAGTACTGCATCTATCATGTTAAACAAGAATACAAGAAGTGTGCACGACGAGCGGAAATACAATCGAGCAATACCAGTTATGGATTCACCGGAGACGCGATAAAACGCATGAATAAGCAGACCGTTATGCGAAAGCCTTACAACGGATTAGCATCGTTCGTACCGGTGTTAGCCAAACGCAACGAGGATCTGTATGAAAAGGATCGTGCGCGTTTGGAATTGTTGTCCGAGGGTACTTCAGATAACAGTATTAAAAAAGTAAAAAACGATCTAGACCATAAGGTGAACAGTACGGATACTAAGAAAGGGATAGCTGTTGAGTTGACCAGCAAACAATTAAAAAAAGACTTTGAACGATTGAACAAACTAAGGAACTGGCAGCCCTCAAAGCAGATAATAGTACAATCAACACCTAATGGGTCAATTCTGTGTTCCAGTCCAATGCAATTGAAAGAAAGCATCCCAAGCAAATCTACGAGCAATCATACAGATAAGATCGGTTTGGCTTCTCTAACTTCACGCCCGCGATTAGGAACGGGATGCAATCAAAATACAATAGATTTCTCCGAACCAATTACCAAGCAACAGATTCGCAACGCCAAGATGAATGCGATCAAGTGGGTGCAAGAGCACGGTAAAATCAAAGCGGCGAACCCTAATCAGGTCCGCGCGAGTACGAGAGAAAAACTGGAGAAGAACACGAAGCGTCAGAGGGAAAATGATGAGTAGGAAGAGCGGTGTGCGAAAAAAGCGAATATAAACGACAAATTCAAAGAGATGCTAGAAGTCAAGTCCTCGCACACAGACTTGATCGAGAAGTCGTATGACGAAGAGAAGGAGAAGTACTTTAACAAACTAGAGGCCAAGGAAAGAATGGAGGAAAAAATGATGAGCACTTTCAAGATCAATTGCAAAGCTGTGAAGTGCACGCTATGCAAGTACATAGCGTTCTCAGCGTCGGACATGTGTAAGGAACAACGACATCCATTGCACGTGATGGACGCTGTTAAGAGATTCTTCAAGTGCGCCGATTGTGGTAACCGAACTGTCAGTCTGAACCGCATGCCATCGCACAGCTGTGGCAAGTGCAGTAGTTCGAATTGGGTCAGGGCAGCTATGATGGACGAAAAGAAGACTGCTATCGTCGCAGAGACCTTGTCCATTCGTGGTGCCGAGGAAAAGTTCCTGGGCTCTATAGTGAAAGATGCCAATCTCAATCTTCTAGTTCCGGACGAAGATTAATATGTTTTTGCTTACAATATACTTTTGAAATAAGTATTATAAATATTTATAAAGAGAAATGAAATAATGATTAATTAGGATGCAAACACGTAACACGTGTTTTATTTATGCAGTATGTAAAGATAAAGTATTTGTATACAAAATAAACGCAGGCGATATTGAAATGTGTGATACCGTTGCCTGTACATATTAATTTAATTAGAATTATTGTTAATATTTGCTATGTGATAATGACAGAAATGCAAGGATCAGTAGAACTTGCCATCTGAATATTTATATATTTTTTTATCGTTAATTAAAATAAAGAGACGTAAATTTTGCTAACCGTAATTGATACTTACTCCTATATTTTACATTTTACAAGATCTACAAATGCAGAACATTTGATATCCTTTTGTTTATTGTCAGTATTATCAGTTTTCTTTTCTTCTTTTTTTTTCATTTTATGAAATGTACAAATATAAAGAAATCCTAAAAGTGTATCTCTTGCACATTTCTGAAATAAAATACATTGAATTCTCTCCGTCCGAAATGTACACAGCGAGCAGAAACGTTTTGATATACAGCCAGGTACAACAATCGTATAAAAACCACTATGTCATCTCGACTACGTTCATTACTAAATTACGTTTGAGATTTATATGTAGGCTGAGGTAAGTCATTATAGTTTTTTTGTTCGATAGAGCCATATTATACCTTTCTCGTGGCGAGAAAAATACGGTTCCTTCCCTTCTTATTATATAAACGGGATACGAACGGTCTAAGGTGGACATCAGTAAAATTCTAAATATGAAGAACTGTGATTGGAGTCCGGAAGTATTGCGTTGACATAAACCATTATAGACGTTAAATGCTTGTTTATATAACAAAAATGCAATAATTGAGAGCAATTGATCTATACAATTTTTCGCGAGGTGTTATGCCAGTGTAACAATTCCGGACTCTAATCATCTGTTTGTATGAGAAACATAGATTGTATTTTTTCACTCATGTACTGTTTAATATCCTATGGTTGTCCAGTTCTATTCGGCATTTTATATTACGATGACACGTTACTCTCTTTCTTTTATATAAAACTTCGAGTAAAATATACGTGAGAAAAGGAAGATTGGAAATAATGTTATTCGACAAACTTTCAAGTATTGCATTTGAGATATTAATTATTATCCCAAAAAATCTTATCTCTTGAATAACACCGATTTATCGTAGATCTTGCATACTCTGTATATGCAATTATTAATTTTTTTGAAAAAGCATTAAATCATTAAAGTGAATCATGTGCAAAATATATATATATATATATACACGTATGTGTGGAAGAGAACTATAAATTAATAATTATATTAATCAATAAATGGTATGCTGTACTTTAAAAAGATTACGTTATTTTTCGAAAAATTCATTTTTGTCGTTTCTTTCGTATTGACACATGGATATATATGTAGAATGTTTTTAGATCTCTCATTATTTCAATCTTCCTCTTTGTCACCTGACAAAGCATAAATCTCATAGAAAATGAGCAGCAGTACCATCAAAACTTTCTTTCCCAATCCTTAGCTATGATCCATGTATACCAGCAAAAACAGATTTCATTTTAGAACAGCACGTGTGATACACATATACAAAAACGTGAAGCACATTACAATAAAATTGTACTCTGAAAAATTAGCCAAGATAAAATTTTCACAACGATTACGCTCTCGTATTGCCTTCCTATCGGATACAAAATGTAATGTCTAATGAGATGTTAAGGAAACAATTGGTTTTCGATTAAAAGACACATTTCACTGGCAAAATATGTGGAAGTAAAATAATCAATGACGAACATATTAGTAGATTATACAACTATGCTTGTAGAGATCATAGGCAAGCCATAATCTAAGTACGTCATCGATCCAGTTATTAAAGCAACTCGTGTGGACGATATTTCCATGTACCTTTACCTTAAAACAAAGATTACAAGGCTTTCCCTATTCTCTTCCTTTCTCTCATTCTTTCTCTCTTCCTCTCATTCTCTCTCTCCCTTTCTCTCTCACTTTCATGCATTGATATTTATTGATTTCTTAATTTATCTATTTTGCGTACTTAAATGGATGTTCCGCTAAGCAGAAACGTAGTCGCACCGATGTATAGAAATAAATAACTATCTAGACTCCTATAGTGAAAAGATGTTTACATATAAAAATTTGAAGAAACGTTAAGCCGGTAATTAACATCTGGGTATCTTGAGAGACAATACACAGATATACAAATACTTCGAACCATCACGTTCTGGAATTCGTTGTGCACATATCGCATAATCGTATCTTTCTCGTACGTTCCACTTTGATGAAGTTCTCTTGTGCGCCTGTTTTTTGTCTCTGCAAGGTGTACAACAATATCGCAAATAATGTAGATACATTATTAAATAGCGATACATCGTTTTCATCGAGTAAATCTCACAACATTCGAGACTCTTTGAGAAACTCTTTGCTCTCTATACAGTATTCTTTCATAAAGGATACTTCACCAAAATTGCACGTTACATTCTTTTCACATTTATACATACATAGCGTCATTTATTACAGAGGCATCATACGAATAAGCAAATTAAATTAACAATGTTAAAATAAATTTCGTAATATATCTTCAGTAACCGTTTAAATATTGCGGGGAATATCTTTCTCTTCACTGAGGTGCACCACTATAACAATGAAAAATTACTTCGATACTTTTACGAAGCGTTTCTTATGTACAATTGTGTGAATGTACAAAAATCTAAGAGCCAAGAGCCAGCAACGGAGCAATGTAGGATTGCGAGGAATTATCTGTCCTTACGTTTACAAGTGTGTATCACTGCATAAGACGGAAATACTTCATTTACTCCGTGGATCGTGTACGCGATCTCAACTTATGTCTAAGGCAACTGTGCCGTTTTTAAAAATTGACATCTATTTACAGAACTCTTCTCCGTATGAATTTTGCAAATATCGGTGTAGAATGCACGATACGCAATTGTATGTTTATAATAATCAGTTTATTACAGCTCTTTCATGATTGTGTCTGAACAAAATAACGCTATAACCACTCTGTAGCTCAAACACTCATTTCTCGTAAAATTTATGATAAGATGACAAACATCAATTTAATATAAAATTACGATCGAACCACCATTCACTGTACATTTGTAATCGGAACTGTAGAGCGCGTAGTTTGTTTAAAGGAATCCCTGTGAATAATTAAAGACCATAATCGTAATATAAGGTGGTGAATGTATGAGAATAGGCAGGTATCAAGCTGGCTTAATTAAGTGTCACAGTCTTCGAATCGCCTTTTCTTTTACAGACATGGATTACATCAGCCGCGCCATATTCGCTGGTGCTCTTCTCTTTCGTGTATTAATTACGATCTGCTTCATGTTTGATAAACTCTAGATAATAATTTTATGACGATATCGTACGTGCTGTATTGTAAATTTTGAAACGTGTTTTCTTTATACTTCTTTCTTGGGGCATCATGAGAAAGAACATACTCAAAGTCCCTGCTTTCTTCGAAGCTAAGAGAACCAAATGTCGATTGAGTCATGGACTTAGTAGTCATCCAAATCAAAGCCATCAGTCTCGATGTCGTCCAGCTGCATACTTTGAAAGTCCACTTTGTACCGCAAAATACCTGTAAGATATATATTTAAAGATATATGCAAGAAAGTGGTAATCATTAAAAAATTTCTTCTGCTAAAAAAATAAAATATTTTTAGATAAAAAAATAAAATTATAAAATGTTTATAATGTGGCGGCCCACCACCAGAAGTCCAAGGAAAAGACTCGCGCCAATTCTCGCATGTATTCGAGACACGCACAATCCTTTCATATAGAACCCTGATCTAAGACTTCCACAGACACTACTGGACTTGTCAGTAAGGCATCGTAGTGGGAGCCTGCCTCAGACGCCTGGGGGAATTTTAGATCGAGGTTCTATATGAGAGGATTTCGCGTGTCTCGAATACATGCGAAAATTGGCGCGGGTCTCTTCCTTGGACTTCTGGTGGCAGACCGCCACAATACAAAACTTAAATAAAGTATTTTTTTTAACTATTGTACAAAGAAAGCACTGTCCAAAAGAAACATATAATTAGTTAAACATTTCATCATTAATTTTGAAATGATATAAGACACCACAAATATTATATATTTTAGTGATTAGGAAGACCATATACAATAAAATATTAAAATTTGTAAATTTGTATTAATATATTTAAAATAAATTAATACTTATATATATAAATATTAATAAATAACTGAAATACGCGTATTATTGTATAATAAAAATTATGATTGTAAAAGATTAATAAAATAAGAAAATATGTAAATGTATACATATACAAAAGTATATCAATTATAATTACATTGCAATGTAAATTATGACTGAATGAATCAATTTTTATTTTTTGTTATTGATTAATAAAAACATGTACTGTACCTTTCCCAATATGCAAGCTAATAAAAATAAGATACCGATTAGTACTTGAAGAATAATGAATATATTTTTACTATTTTAAGCAGTTGCTATGTGAAAGCGTAAATACTCATAGATTTTTACACCATAATTGCACGATACTTGTGTTCATTATCAGAGATAACACTTCTCATAGCATTTTTCATAACTTTCAGATTGATATCTAATTTTCGATATTCTATTTTTAATAAATTATAAAATGTACATTATCTGTGATGATGAACTTAATGTTGCTTATTATTTAACATGCATTGGGATATATTACATTATCATTTTTTACTTTTCATTGTAAGCATGGGCGTAGGGTATAACAAAAAAAATATATTAAAAGCTGTAATAAAATTTAAGACATAGCATGTAATAATGTATGATCTCGTTGATTACTTTGCTGCTTCTTATTGCATAACAATATTAATTTTTATGATAAATGTTTTCATATTTGTGAAACTGGCAGTATATGTCGAAAGACATCTAAATAAAAAATTAACATAATTATTTTAATAATATTTTTGCATATGTGTATTAAGCATATAATTATTTTCAAATTTAAACTACATTTTGTTCTTTTCTTGATAATATAAATCAACATTTATGTTATATATAAAACAAGATATGTTAAGCTGAAGCAGAATTTAAATTATAAATTTTTCTTTCTTCAAATATTTATCATACAAATTAAAATATACAATTATATTAAAGGGACATACATGCGCTTGCTACGATCTAATATCAGTAGTGATTATCAGTGTAGTCTAATCTGTACGTCTATAGCGTAATAATATAAAATAAATTCAATGTTCAATAAAATGTATGTAAATACTGTATACACAAAATGATAATTGACAACAAATCATGTTAAACGTATGCAATACAAAATTCTACTTTCCAAAGGATAGAATAAAAATATTATAAAGTTGTCATGCAAAACATATTTTATATTATAATTGCAGAACAGAAACAATAGATTCGGTAAGTTTAAAAAAAAGATATATGCACATTGCGTATTTCCATTCAGTAAAATTTTTATAATTTATATATATGTGAATAATAATACAATGAATCAAGAATTATCAAACAGTGTGTACGTGACATGTCATGTTTAAAAATTAATTTTTATCAATGAAATAAACATCAATAGAGATGAGACATAGACGCAAGTAGTTATATTCTTAGTAATGATAATGAAACTTGTCATTGTTGCCTAAAAGCTAACATTTCAAAGCGTCAGCAATCAGTTTATTTATAACACATTCCTGTGAACACGGTCTTTCTAATTCGTAACGGATTTTCGTTGTGTACGATGGTACCGTACGAAAATCGAAGATAACATGTGTTAAATGAATAAGAATGTGGCTAAATATTTGTAGTAATATATATAACTATCAAGCAACACTATTTTCCAATGAATCAACACCACTGTGTATATTGTATCTACTAATTCCAATTATGAGACCAACAATGTACGAATCTAACAACACCGCGATAGGAAAAGATAGAAGACTGGAAGATTCAACTCACCCTGTATATAAACAGAGTTATCCATATCTCATATATATAATATGTATATTTATATATATATATATGTAAGATTTTTCTTTATATGTGTTTACCACCAAGAAAGAAAAGAAAGACAGCGAGGACTCTCAGACTTTTTTATTCGTAGAAAAAAAGAAATATAATACTTTGAGAAATATAAATTAAAAATGTTTATTACCACATTCAAACTTATTTTAAGAGACACATATGCATATGTATACTACAGATTTGCACAGAAGAAACAAACTATTTAGTGAGAAACCCAATAAAAGAAATTGTGAACTTTTTGGACAAATTTATCTTTGTATTTATAAAATACTCAAAAGTAGAGTATTTTACAATCACACACTATAATTATCTTTCTATATATTATAAAACAAAATATAGTAATTTCAAAAAACCTTAAATTTATTTATGTAAATGTTTACATGTTTAACATATCTATAAGATGCTACTGACAAAATGTATTCATATTTCTCAAGGAAAGATAAGAAAAAATGGGAAAAAATATTGAACTAAAATTGTGTAAGTCAACATAATATTTTAAAAAATAATTTAGCTCATAATCACAAACTTGAGATTTATACTAACAAAATTTCTATTAATTTATTTTGTATTTGATTCTAATTAAATCATTACAGTTACATTATCAAAAATTTAAACCGAAACATAAAGATGCAACAAGTAAGCAAATGATAAATTTGTCCAGCTTTGCAAATATGCTTTATAATACACGAGATGTAAGTGAACGCACGCAAGACAGAGAGAAAGCTACCTGGTCGATTCTGAGTAATTCACGGATGAAATTAGTAATCATCAAGGTCAACATCATCAAGAGGCTCATCGGCCTGCAGTGACTGGAAATCAACTTTGTAGCGGAGGATTCCTATACACCAAGATATACTCCATAGTTAATATCGGTTCGAAGAAATTTATTTTCCATACAAAAGAAACTTTGCTGGTGTCTAGCAATGTTAATTTATCGGCTTTTAGAAAATTGTACACCCATAAAACGCAACTACACCATAACTTGACAAAGGTTTCACAACAAGTTAAATGCGCAGATTGTATTTTAAAACAACCTAGCACATATTCTGATATATTATCTGATATATTTTCTTTGATACCGTTTCCTAATTTTAATTTTCCACTATTTCTACTGTTATATTTATTTTATTTGACTATTTTTTATTTCTTTATTATGTGTTTTATTTTTCTAGGACCATTTATGATATAAAAATTTATATATTTTACGACAGACAGGATCTAGAATGTCTTATATCTTATAAAATTAAAAATAATAATAAATTTATAAAAAAGAAACTTACCCCCTATGCCACCAAAACCTCTAACAAACTGGGATCCTTCCTGAGACTTGTCCGTGATAATTTCCAGAGTGGCACCAAAACTTTTATAATTGTTCGCGAGCCATTCCAGTAGTGGTTGACATTCTACGAGTTCCAATTCTACCCCGCTCTATGAAAAATATAGATAAGGTATAAAACGAATTTATTTTAATTTTTATTTCCAACATTGTTTTGATACTCACTTCCTTATCGGTAAAATGAGTTTTATCTTTTTCTTGTTCCGGTGTTAAATGTAGTACTTTTTCTTCCGCGTTCGTATGATTTTTCAGGACATATCGTTGAATATCTAAATTTTCCCAACAAATTAAAGTTTCAACGCTACCCAATTCCAAGGCTCTCAACGTATCTTCTACACCAAAGCAATATTTGCCAGTTTCTTGAGAAATTTCATCAAAGTAACGACCTAAACAAAACAAAAACCAATATATATTATTAAATACACATATTACATAACATTACATTTTGCATAGAGACAAAAACAGTAAAATAGGATAAGATAGGATAAATTAGTATAAGTTCAGTTAGGATAAGAGTGATAATTGTATATAACTGTAACCTCTAGGAGAAGCAATAAAGACCTACTACTACATAACATTACATTTTAGTCAACATATAAATATTTACCAATCAATTTTTTCTCTTGAATAAATTTCACATTTTGTAAAGATTCGGCCGCTAATTCAATAGCTTGATTAAAACCATTTTCGCCACCATACGATACATCGACCAGTTTTATAACTTTAGCTTGCAATCTCTGAAAAAAAATTATGTATTAAAGTAAAACAACTAATAAATTAAGAAACTAATTAGAGAAACAATTTGTTTGTATTTTGTTGTATACTGCTAACGCAAATGTATTCAAAAAAATTAATTGAAAATAATATATAGAGATTTTGAGAAAAATTAACACTAAACAGATCAGGATTTCCGAACTTACTACTTGCATAAATATAACGTAAAGAATATTAAATGAAAACATTCCACTCTGATAGAAATGATGCCTACGAAATATAATCTCAAAATAGAGATAAGCAAATACTATTATTTTTGAAGAACAAACATCTCCAAATAACAATTGTTGAAAAATTATAATACTTCATAATCAAAAATTATAGTGTAATTATGAAATATGATAAACATTATTCAACAATAATAAATAATGTTAAAAACAAGCTCGAACTTCCAGAGTGAAGGTTGGAGAGATAAGGAACTTATAATTCCTTCACATAAAAATTATTATGAAATCAGTAGCAATCTATGACAAAGTATTGTCCATGACATAATAAAACAATAGAAAATGCGGTTCTCTAAAAAGAATTTTACTTACTGGATCGAACATATCGGATTGACTAAGTTCCGTCTTGAAATCAGCGCTACCCGCAAGAATCAATCCAGCGATGTTAGGTTTATCATTTGTTATATATAATTGAGTAGCGACTTCGGCTACTTTTCGAACGTAATTATGTCGTTTTTCCATACGTAATCGGGCAAAACGCAATGCAGATTGACCACCTCTACCTGAAATCAATATTTTTTTGTGACACATATTTTTTTTTTAGGCATCAAGTGGCTCAGTGCTCTGTCCACAGATTAGCAATCCGTGGACCCAGGTTAAATCCCATCCTCACAACTCACATATGCAGGATTTTTCCTGCATTTAAGCTACGCTTAATCTATGAGTAAGAATCCCAATTGTATCTTGAATCAAAAAGCATAACTGTTACATCGATTACGTTTCCCCCTGATTAAAAGACAAGTTCGATTAAAGTATATGTAACATTTAAGAGTTAGTTCACAATTTGTTATTGGCCAATATGACTTCACTTATAGAATTGAGGACCAATTGAAGAACAAAAAAAAGAAATAATAACAAAAAATGGCTGTCTATTTTAATTTCTCTTACCATGTTTTTTGGGAAGATCCACGGTGAATTTATGTAACACCTCGCGCGTATTACCTTGCAGCGTTCCAAATAACGCTCCATTACCATCCATTACAATAAAACCAAATTTGTTATCATCCGCAAGTAATGCCGTGAGCGCTTCTGTGTGAAACTACAAAACGCAATGTATACAAATCATATTTCTTTCGTAATATGCACTAAGGATAACAAAATGAGATCTTTTGGAGTATGTAAATAAGCATAAGTGCATTATCTGTGAGTTATAATTGATAGGATGATGCGTCTATCTACTCCAAAAAAGGAGATCATTTTTGTTACTCAGTGTACAAATATCACATTTGCGAAAATAAAACACACCTTATTATCACAAAGATATAAAGATGTATTAATAGGTTTGAAAGGCTCAAAATCGATGTTGACCTTCTTTTCTTTTCCTTCCTCTGTTACAATAGTTCCACAATAAATTACCAGGCCATTTGGAGGCACTAAAATACATTAATATGCATAAATAAAGCTTGATTAATGTTCAATGCATAAATGATATCTAAATGACTCAAAAGTTAACCACAAAACATAATTTTACATTAAAAAGAGTCAAACACTACAGGTGCATACAATAGATTCCCATTCTTATTAACATAAATAGATAAAAGATAATTACCTTTTGTATATAGCTTTAGCCTATGCTGCACCGATGTGATTGCACCCAAAACAGATAATCTATTTACACGTGACTTAATGTTCGACGCTGTACCAAATTCATCCGCCAGCATCTTACTCACTCTCGATATTTGGTCCTTTGGAGGTATGATTAACGAAATCATACTCGTGCCATTCCTGCAAAAACAAACACATCAATCTTCCATCTACCAATATGCTGTATAAATAATTAAAAGTCAATTTTGGAATAGTCTGCTTATGTAAGACAAGACTTACATATTTCATGATATAAATTTCTAACAAAATTACAGTATATTTTAACATCTGTCAGTTGCAACAAAAGCAGTCCTTGTGCAGAATCAAAAACTCTAGATTGAGAACTTGATGAATAAGCACATGTTTGCCAAGCCATATGTCAAGGAAATTCGCATGGTGGGAACAGCTGACAGTACAGGACGCGAGGACGTCGGTGGCGGCCTACTTACCCTCTGGCCATCTCGAGGCTCTTTATGAGCTTCTTGATCTTCCAGATCTCGACGTTGCGGTCGGCGGAGGTCTCCTCGTTCGACATCGCTGCGGATGTGCGTGGGGACGCGTGGTCGCGACGTTACGGCGCGTTGGTACCCGAGATGCTGAGAATTTAATCGCTGCCACGCGCGCTCTGGTCCGCCCGAAGGTGGACGTGGACGACGAGGACGATGATGATGATGGAGAACGAGCAGGCAATGTGGCCCGCGTCGACGACCGGGAATCGGACCTTGGAACAGGTTCCTCCTCTCTGTGAAAATTACGGTCGAAGAATTATCGGTGGTTACAAAATACCGCACCAATCCAGTTCACACCGGATTATGTCAGCCACGGAGGAACGTGGTCGACATAGCCATTCATTCAGGGGCGGCCGCCCGTTCCGTTCGTTCGTTCTCTTTCTTTCTCTCGTTCTCTTTCTCTTTCTATCTTGCGCTCGGTGTCGCGCGCGCGGGCATTAAACGCTCGAGTTTAAGCACGCGCTGTGCAGCCACCTTCGCTCGTGGCAGTTATGCCTTCCGTCTTCGCACTCACTTTAGAGGGATCGTTACAGTATGATCGGTGTGCCCGACACGTCGACGTTATCGCGACGAGCTGGACCTCTTCAGCGGCAACGCGATTAGTCACACGGCGAGTACCACGCGAGCGCGAGCCTCGGTACGCACACGTCGGCCATGCGATGGCACAGCGGAAACGTCAGTGAACGAACCACGGTGAACCGTGGACGTGCTGCACACGAGACAAAATAGGAAGCAAAAAAACTCCGAGGCCGCCCAGTCGCGAACACGAGCGCATATAACGCCACGACCGCGAATTGCACGTTCGCCTTCGCTATTGGCTAGCGAGTGCTAGCGAGCGCATGTGTCTTTATGCCTAGTTCACACTGGATGCGATGGGCGATGAACGACGAGCGATATCCAATAAAAGCTTTGCTTTAGCTCACACGGGATGTAAAGCAGAGTTCTTATTGGTTATTGCTCGTCGCGCATCGCTCATCGCGCCTAGTGTGAACTAGGCAATAGGCTGCTCTCGTATAAAATGTATGAATGTCGGTAATAACAATATGGCAATAGCGAATTGTGGACCAAGCTCTGTCATAAATTATGACAAATTTTTTATTTTTGAATATTTAATTAAAATTATCCGAATGACTCACAAACCTTTTTAATCGTACTTTATAACTCTTCATACAAAAAATACAAATGATACTATACAAAAACTTTGTTCAATCTACTTCCAATTAAGGGAATGCCGGAGTGTCCCTGTTTTATCATTACTTAGTTAAAGACTCGTTTCTCGTAATAGCATTTACGGATGGAAAAATCCTTCTGCATAATTACAGTATTGACAAAAACGGAAGGTGCTAGCTACATTTCAATACGAAAAACGGAAAAAAAAATTTACAGTTTCGTTATCGGCTTCTGCAGTCGACTCGACACATTATGTGCTGCAGCATATAAAAGTTTTAGACCTTGCACGTTCACAGGAAGTAGCTGGCGAACGTCAGAAAATCTGAGAGAACAATCCTATGCTTGCAGAAACGAGCTATAAGTTTTAGTATAAGAGGAATGAGTATCCGCAAATTTCATTGATATGCTAACCTAAAAGCGGGGAGCACAGACTTTTGCATAACGCATAAAGCATGTGCATAAGGAATTTCATTGGTCCATTTTCTTATGCATGAGTCAGTGGACCAATCAAATTCTTTATGTATATGGTTTATGCGTTATGCAAAAGTCTGTGCTCCCCGATTAAGACTACAAAAACCGATAATGAAACTGTAAATTTTTTTTTTTTTCCGTTTTTCGTATTGAAATGTAGCTAGCATCCTCCGTTTTTGTCGATACTTTAATTATGCAGAAGGATTTTTCCATCCGTAAATGCAATTAAAAGAAATGAGTCTTTAACTAAGTAATGATAAAACAGGACACTCCAGCATCCCCTTAAAGGTGCTTTCTCATGAATCACCGACAGGATTTTATATCAATTGTTGATAATGTCAGTGTTCTTCAATTATCTTTAATGCTGGATTCACATTGAACGCAACAAGCGTCAAGCAGCGGAGCAACAACCAACCAGCGTGGTGATATTTACAGTGGCTTGGTTTACATCGTGAAAGAATTGGTACGCGTATTAAATGTGTTTCATGCGTTTACATCACCATTTGTATCATTTGATACGCGTATCAGTTTAGTACGATACTCCTGCTTGACAGCGTTTACATCTTGCATATTAAATGTTTATAGTACGAATTTGATACGAATATGGCCTGGTTTACATCGTAAACCATAGCACTTGATACGCGTATCAGGTACTATATTCGTATCAAATTCGTATTATAAACATTTAGTACGCACGATGTAAACGCTGTCGGATTATTTTGGTACGAGCGTATCAAGCAGGAGTATCGTACTAAACTGATACGCGTATGAAATGATGCAAATGGCGATGTAAACGCATGAAACACATTTAATACGCGTATCAATTCTTTCACGATGTAAACCAGGCCTATGTACCTGATACGCGTATCAAGTGCACGATGTAAACCAGGCCAGTGGCATAAAAAATATTGCTACGCTGGTTGGTTGCTGCTCTGCTACTTGACGCTTGCTGCGTCTAGTCTGAATCCAGGATGAGCCTTCCTTTTTATATGGAAGAAAATTTGATCAATCTTGATAGTCTTTATGAGCTGAAAATGTCGATGGTGAATACACATAATAAAAAGCACAAGCAATAGGAACAGGGAATAAGATATTTCAACCTATCAGAAAACGTCCATATTCTATTATTCCATTTTATTATTTTATTTCCATTCTTTTTCGTAATATATGAAAAGTCACCTTGAGTTTCGTCCACCATGGATCAAATCACAGACTTTACAGAAATCAATGGATCAAACTTCTGATTAGTTGATCAATTAATTTTTGTCCAGGATATGTAGGAGGAGTAGGTTAATCAGCATCATTACGATAATTTCGTTCATCATCTGCACAATATTCTGCGAATCTATAATAATTATCTATAGTAATTATAATTTATAGGATTAATTCTCTCTACACACATTTTGAGAAGTTAAATGAGATAACTCCTCGAATGCGGAGGATAATCAGAGTAATTCTTTCGCTGCAAAATGCCCACAATCATTTTTTTGTCATTCGTCCAATAAGTTCAATAAATAAAGAGCGCGCGCGAAAAAGAGAGAGACAGTTGCCCCATCTGTCATTTATAGGTCGTTGTAACGGACGCGAACGACGGACCATGAGCAAAAATCAAGCAAAAAGGCAATGGCGGCTACCCGTTGGACCGCCAGCGAGCTTGGTTACGTGAAAAATCTCAGAAAAATATGATCTACGCGTCGCGATTGACGATCGTAAGTTCAAGGTACGTTTCCCGTAACTAGTTTTGTCCCGGGCGAAAAATGTTCGCGGCACAGCGCGGTGCATCCGAAGCAATGTTAGAACGAACTCGGGTAACATCAACATGTGGATTCTGAACGATTTGATCGGAAAAATACGACCCGTCATGGAAAGTTTGAAATCTCGACGCTCGACTATGCATGCTGAAGGTCGAACTTCCCATCTAATCGAATTGAACGCTCGCTCATATCATAAGTTCTGGTGCACTAGCCGCACCGACGCGACAACTTTGTGCTAAACAAATGTCATGTGCTTGACAGTAACATGTTTATTAAATTTAATAGTCGCGCCGATTTGCCGATTTCCAATGATGAAACATGTGTAGTATCGGATAAAAGATAAAAATGTTCAGAAATTGAAATCACTTTCTGATATATTATTATTGACATATCGCTTGTACAAAGATACATTTCAATCATTTCAATGTCACCAATTTAATCGATTAAAATAATGTTAAATATTAAATATTTATAGCTCTAATATTTCCACTGTTTTGTTATATTATATTAATTTTATTATAAATTTTAAACTGTTTTTTTATTCCAAGTTATTTTAATCCTCTAGCACTACCCTCAAATTTTCAACCATAGTTTATACTTTTTAGGCCATTGAAGGAAACAGCATTATTTTTTATGGTTTTGAACTACATAAAAATCTGAAAAAAAATCGTATACCTTTATGAAACCTTAATAATAAATTTTTACTATAATAAAAAAAGCTGGACTATATTTTATATATGTTTTACATATTGAAATCTGAATAAGAATTTTGAGAAAATGTGAAATTAACTGTACCTTAAAAGGTACAAAATGATGCTGAAGAGTTAAGTATAAAATATGTTTAAGTATAAGTTTTACTTTAAGTATTTTCTTTTTTTTGACAGGTGTATGGCTTGAAGGCAGAGAAGTACTTTTGCCTGTAAAGGTAGAAATGGCACATGGTATATGCAGAGGATGGCTGATAGACGAATGGACTTGTTATCGAATCGATTAGACAACGAATGGTGGCTGGCAAGTCAAATAGAAAGATACGACTACAGGCAGGAAGGAGTAAATGAGTGCGCGCACCTAAGTAATGAGCGAAACTCGGCATTATCCTATTCGTTCGGTCTCGGACTTATACGCAGCCGAGGAAATAGAAGTGCTTCTTTTAGAAGAGATACGCGATCTGGAGCCACCACCTGCTATATATTCTAAACCCGAAGACATTCAAGACTTCGAAATTGGTATGTGTTTTAATATTTTAATTTTTTGTGTACTATTTAATATATAACTTATTTTTATGTAGAATCTTGTTTATACATATAAAATTGAAACTCCATATATGCTATATCAATAATTGTTTCATAATTACTTTTGTAATATCAAAATAACATATGATTATTAAATGACTTTAATATTACATTATCTTTTATTTACTTTATTAAAGCTGTATCTATATAACTGTATATACGAATGTATACATGGTTTTAAAATTGTATCAATAGCAGGCAGTAGGACAGGGGGGCGAATCAGCTCCCAATCTTCAGAGCTGGATTCGCCAGGGGTGAACTCGACAGTCCACTCTTGGGATTCGCATGCTAATTATCATGGTCATTACGGTAATAGTGATCATAGACCTGGCTCATCGAACACTATGCCTTGGTCTCGTGCAAGTCATGTGGTTATTTACTGCGACATACAAGGACATCTTAAAACACCTACAGGTGTTGTTAGACTCTTATTACTTGTGAGTGTGAAGTCACTTTTATGTAGAAACTTTATGATAAACTCAAAGTTTGAGTTACTATAATTGTTTTATATAAATTAATGAGCGCATTTCGTAGATATCTTCTGCAGCTTGTTTGGCAACTTTATGCAGTTCTGGCACTGCCAAGGTCAGCATTTTTATGCTGCCTTTAGCAGATCGTTTACGATTCATGATCTTTGTAGCTGTTTTCTGTTTCTTGGTCACTGCAACCCTTCTCTTCCTTGATATTTCGCATGTCATTTACATCCTTCCTTTAAATTGGACTAGGCTGGTAAGTAATGTTTCACTACAAGACTATTATTACATTTGTCGTATGACAAATTTTTTAAGCGTGTTAATTAAGCAGATAGATTTTTTTATTTTTCTATGCGCTTTACTAGCCAATCAACAGGCTTGAAAAATGTGTTATACGACTAATGTAATATTAGCTTAACTCATGTATGTTTCAGAAACTATTTAATTATTATTGTTATAAGAAATTATTGTGTAGATATATTAGTTGTTGTTATGTATAAGAGTTTTTTTTTTTTTAGAATGCTATAGTATTCACTGGCATAGGCTTGTCATATGCTGCGAGTAGCGCATTACTAGCATATACAATATGGGAATACCACAGTGGAGGTTGGGTACCAAGACGCACACGTTCTCAACTAACTGCTGCAGCAGTAGTGGGACTTTTATGTGCTCTCTTAGCGTTTTTACTGTCTTGGATACATTGTCGTAGTGGATCAAGTTGTAAAGGTCAAGATTCTCGTAGTCATACTCCAACGCAACTTTATAAACCCGTTGACAATTCTTCTTCCTCCGGGGTAAATAATTTGCATGTTTTATGGCTCAAGTATTGATTAGCAATCACGGTGTAAACATAATCTAAAATGCAGGTCACTTTGAAGGAACGTAGTCCTAAGAGACCGGCTTCATGGGCCACGAAAAATCAGCAATCGAAAAAACGTAACGCGGACAGTGCAACGAACACTAGTAACGGTGGCCATCACGGTAGCAATCATGAGAAATTTAAACAAGGCACAAATAAAAAGGACCATTGGGCTACAGCCAAGCAACATATTTTAGAAACACATACGAATGAGGATACTCAGCGGGAAGATACTGAGATTGAGAGGAGACGAAGAAGACGAAGGAAAGATGGTGACAGTAGTTCAACCGGTGACGGAAACGCGCCAGGTAGTAAAGTCGATGCTAGCCTTGTTGCTGTGGAAGAAGCGAAGACTAGACAAGTGCCGCGAAAGTTACCTCTACAGTCTACAGTGGAGCAGTCTCAGCCGTGGCCTGATGCCGAACATAGGAATAGTGATACTACGCAAATTAAGAATAAAACTAGGCAAATGCCAGTGAACAATGACGCACAGAATTATTGTGAAATGAACGAAGCTAGATCGATTAATCGAGTGACTCGAAACGGTCTTCGAAACTGGGAAGTGGAATGTACGACTAGTAATGGTATAGAAGAAACTACTGATGCGAATGTGGTTCGTAATGCCATGTGGTCCGGACCCGAACAATGGCGCCCACCACCAGATGATGTTCAACCTTGTTCTAGCAAAACTATCGATCCTTACAACTTTACCTGAACGTCTTGTGAAATATGAAGCACATACTTTAGGTAAAAAATGAACTTGTTCTACCGAGCAACTTCTGTGAACAGTTTGTGACAACAAAATTTTTTATAAACCAAATACATCTATATACTTTACGTTGAACATTTTATTCGATTACAATAGTAGTTGGATATTATAATTGAAAATTCATATTTTTCTCTTGCTTGCATACAAAATGTCTGATTTTTATATTTGATATTAAATAATGCATAGTGACTGAAGTAGAAAATTGTATTTTAATTTTATATTTTGTATCTGTGTTTTTAACTATGCATGAAATTGAATGTGATTTAAAATGTTAACGTAAAATATATAGATTACTATATTTCGTACGTGTAACAGGTGAAAAAATGTAGCCCGAACTTATTATAAGGATCAAGTTCGTCGTTATCGAATTTTGCAGGACGAAAATGTGTCCAAAAATTTCAAATCTTGTATAAAATTATTGCTGCCTTGTACATTTTGCTGCCAAGAAGATAGGTTCTCTTAGTTGTTCGGGTCTTGACGTTTTGCATCACACAAAACCAGACTGCCCAACTTTGATAAGCAAATAATGCCACTTCATTCCAATCATGTACCAAATAATAAATCTAAGTAAGTTTTAATGGGATTTTGTAAGTATAAGACCACTATATAGCACGTAACACTAATATATATTAACTAATTATTTCTATCATATTTTGATGCCAACATATTTTGAGCTCCATGCATACTTGAAAAAGCGTTTAATATATGCAGGGAGAAATCGCCTATTCTTTAAGATGAAAGTGTATATATTAAACCTTGAAAGGATTATATACATACATACATAATAAAATACAGCTAGACCGATCTTTCTATCAATCCTACATATAAAGAATGGCAGTTGCAACTGCAGTTCGCAATTGTAACTTGTCTATTTAAATTTATATGTTATTGCAAACTCTTGAAACATAAGCGCACAAGATTCTGCTTTCATTAAATAATATTTTAATATTATTTAAGAAAATGAAATTAATTATATAATTAAAAAAACATATTGATTTATTTTAAAGTACTTCAGAAATTACGGTGTGATTACAAGCAAAATGCGAAAATTAAAGTTCATAAAATTACATCATAAACGACATAAACGATTTTAATGTTTTCAATAAAAAAATATATATATTCGCGAAATTATAGAGTAACTTTCTCAATTAGATTTTGTTTTAAGTTTTAATTAAGCTATGATCAGATAGCTTAATAATCAGCGTGTAATAGTAAAATCATTAATACTTTATTTTACAACGACAAAATATCTTTATAAATATATATTTCACACAATGGCCTTATAGAATTTTAACTTTTTATTAAAGCACATTTTGAGAAAAATGCTAAAAATAAGTTTGTATAGAGAAAACTTTTTATTGACTTATAATAAAATTATAAGTCTTGATTGATATTCTTTGCATTGGAAGATCGGTTTGGCATTAGTTCCCGTATGAACAGAATAGTATGCGTGGAACGATTATTCATTGTATTATTCCACATACAATTAGCTCACACTCTGAAATGTGCTCATTATATTACAATAGTATTATTCTTGCACAAGGACGGATGTATAAATCACACAAGTCTTATTTAATTATAATTACCCAACTATTAAATAATGCTAATTTAAAAAATATCTATATATACACATATATATATATATATGTATATATAATTGGTTATTTTTTATTAAATCTTTTAATTGAATTTTTCACATAATACAGAAATTAATAGATTTTTGCTGATTTAAGTTATTAAAAGAAAATAATCCGTCCCTGTTCCTGTATGCATCATTTATAAGTATCTTGTGTAGTTTTAAAATTATTAAACAAATAGTATTATTTATTGTATTAATCCTTTAAAGAGTCTAGTCAACTCTAGTCAAGCACTTTTTTTGTACAACTATATCTTCTAAATAATCCATCAAATTAAAGAGCAAAGTATTTTTTAGTATATACATATCGTGTTAGAAGTACAATTCATCTTAGAAGAAAACTGTTAAGCGCTTGTTTCCTGATTGATAATTCCATTGAGTCTCTTTTAATATATAATAGCATTATATAGTCTTCAGAACTCCTATAATTATCTTGTTTCTCCTTCGTTCAATGTATCACGACCATTATACAATCGAATGAATATAAACATGTTAGCTAATCTTTATTAAGACAACTATTTTGTCTGACAACAGCTATTTTGTCTTTTGATACGATGCCGCGAGTGTAAACACAAATAAATTACACACTTATCGAACTTTGATGCGTCGACCTTAAATCAATTAATAGTGTAAGAGAAATGCGTGTTCATATAGATTCATACAGAGAAATAGCATGTAATACAGCAGCTTCGTTGTGGCAAATATCAACTTGTTTTGTTGAATATAATGAGAATAGTGTGTAATTTTTTAATATAATTTATCTTTGCTATGCTGAGAATTAAAAAGGTGATTATCTCTTCAAATAAATTATATTTTGTTAGGAGTAACTAATTTATTAAAAAGTCATTTGGCGTAATAAAGCAATTAGCCTTGAACTAGATCAAAGTGTATAAGCACTGCCAGAGGAAATATAACGCTTTTTTTTAATGTAATGTAATATCGATTTAGTTTTTTTAATGACTTTACATCCAAAGCTTGTAATTCAAATTTGTAGTTTCATATCGTTTTATTTCACATTCCATATTGTTATTTGTAATAATAACAGATTTTTTAAATGCTAATTCTCAAATTTTTCAAGAAAAATAAAAACATTTATCAAATAGTATTATCAGATAAGGGACAGCTAACGGATTAAGGATATTGTTATTACAATAAAGATTAAACTATCACTTGACTTCGATATTTATAAAATTATTTGCTTCAACGAAGTTAATATAATAAATAGCAGTATGTTTGTGATACATGAAAAGCACTGTTTCCTTAGAATTTGTATGAATAAATTATCATTCAGGCAATAAATTTCGATTACGATTAATAGACACAGATTTCTTTATATACTAAGCTCGATTGATAATGACCTGTAGTGATAGCATGACAATCCAGATCTGTATATGACCTGATATCCTTTCAAAATCAGGTGAACTAAAAAGAATTGATAGGAAAAATTATTGTGATTAAAATGGGTATTTTAACGAACACATTCAATGAATTACAGAATGTATTCTTTACAATATCGAAAATTAGAAACTTGATTTCACAGAATAAATTCCTGTCAATTTGTTTTAATTCTCCTAATAGAATAATTTAACAGGCCTAATTCCTTATTTGCTAAATAATAGATCCATGTCACGTTACATATGTTACATGTCCTAAATACGAAATATTTGTCTTGTTTAAATATTTCTAATGTGTTTTAATATTTATGTGAATGTATTCGGGTATTAATATATAGATATATATAGTGTCATTGTATTTATATATTTAGTTACATGTGAATGAATAATGTGATGCTGCCAATAATTATAGTGGACATCAAACTGTAGCGATATATTAATTGTAGAAGTGTTAAGCGAATCGTGAGTCGAATGTCTTCAGAAGTCTGACAAAAATGGATATGAATATAAATAAAATGATTGGACAGATTGCTAAGTATCACGCGATATAAGGCATCTTGGCGATTTGATGAACTGATAGCGAATGATCTAGACAATAAATGATTCATGAGTCACGTAACATCTAAGTTATAGCATTATCACATATTCTTTTAAATGTCATTTTATACATCTAGGAGTAAAATGAGCGGCGAATATTATATACTATTGACTGTGCGGAATTGTGCGTGTGATTGTGTATGTTACTTAACAATATATCACAAATCTAGTCAGAGTGAACTTTGTGTAATGTTACTTGAGCAAAACAATGTACATTTGTTAGTAAATGCGTTAAACACAATTTGATTGGCGACAGCTAAAGTACATTATATTTTGCGCATATGCCATTGCAAAAACATTGTCACGCAATCGTCCGAAATACAAATGGAATTATCAAAATCGTTGCGCGATCTGTTGAACTTCATAAGAGCTACGCCTTAGAAAGAATCAGAATATCTAACAAGAAATGTATATATAAATCGTTGTATACTGTAATCTCCATTTTATTTTCAACACGAAGGCAAGGCTAATGCAGAAGAATATTTTAGAATAAGATTCATATCGAGCTTATATACACTTAATATCAATCTACAATTACATAAATTTTCAACATTTTTATCATTACTATTATATTAATCAATTCTTCAAATTGATATTCGAAGATATTAAATAGGAATTAAGAGAAATATCACTTGCGTGTGTAACTTCAATGGAACTTTTCATCGAATTAATGTATCAGAATCGCTCAATTATTTAGATCAATACTATTACGTTCAATCTCCTTCAATTTTCCAACTATATTTTCCAAGTTTTTACGACGTACGCAGTACTTTGTTTGATCGCTTCCATTTGACGTAGAAGAATAAGGATATACGTGTCCAACATAGTGATGAATCCAGCCACTTGAAGAATGAAGAAATCGAAAAAATAACACGTAAATACAACTCCAATATAAAACATAATAAAGATCATATTTTTTGTATATACATTAAGCACATAAATGGCTTACCTTTCATTTCGGGCATACAGAGGCGAAGTCTGCAATAATATCCGGTAAGTAAATATATCCTAGAATAATCTTATGTCTCTGTATCTTCTTACCTGCCGTTGAAGTCTTAATTGCTTCAGTAATAAATATTTACAGATGGATTTTGTCCAACTGTACTGATCATGGTGCACACTCGATAATCCGGATAGATCCGTCGGATATGTCGAAAATTGCGATCTCGCCGTCAAATGACGCTGTTGGTGAAGCAGGTGTTGCTGCTGGCACATATAATTCGCATAATACGGATCATCATAGGCTATTAAATGACCCGACGGAGACGCTAAAGAATTTGATATTGCAACTGTAACAAATTTAAGTAATCAATATATTTATTAGCACCTTTTATATCTAAGTAATCACAATAATTTATTATATTCCGTACAAAGTACACTGAAGTCTGAAGGATTGCTTAACAAAATATTTTAAATATATAGGTATACCATATGTAATGTAATTTTTTAAATTAACCTTTCGCTTTCTGAGCATTTAATAACGTGTCATAGTATCGTTTTTTGTATGCAGCTAGTTCAGACATTGAACGAGCTTGAAAATTGATTGCGGAGTTTATATTATCCGATTTCGATTCTATCGTTTCGTATCTAAATTTAAAATCATTTTATTATTATGTGGCGTTGTATGCGTGACTAAGACATTCAATAGAATAAATACATATTTACCTGTATCTTGATTTTTTCGTATTATCTTTACACTCTAATGTAGTTGGTTTCTTTTTCATATCATAATTATTTTGTTGTAATTGTAATTTCATTATTTTATTAAATTCTCGAGAATTATGTTTCTTTTGCAATTCATTAACATAAGTAATAGGTTTTTGTTTTGTCCTTTCAATCGATTCTTTTTGATTTTTTTCTATGTTAATATTTGTGTTCTGCTTGTTTAAAAATAAGCAGCTATTGGTATCGCTATTTGAGACATTAGATGTAAAATCTCCTAAAACTTTTGATGGTGTTCCAGATTTTGAGTCTTTTGATGTAAAACATACCAAATTCAAGAAGCCCTGTGGATGCGATCTGATGCATGGAAAGGCCGATTCTGTATGCATTTATAAGAAATTACTTTTGTAATTTTGTATATTATCCATAATTACAAATACATTAAATAAATCGGTGTAATGAATAATGTTACCAACAAAAATTCCTTCTTGTGCTCGTTTTAAAAAATTGTTCAAGCTTGTTTTAAGTCTATCGTTAGGTGTTGGTAAAAGATCATCCGCCTGCAAAATTTAATTAATTTGGTTTTACTTCTACAACTATTCTAAATTAAAATTAATCTAAACGAAAATTATCTATGTTTTATCTGTATACATTTATGATAATATCTTGATCCTCATCCCAACACACATCCATTTTATGTATCTCATCTTTAATTGTTTGTTTAGTTGTTGCATCTTGACCAATGTCGATTATCATATGTGAAATACCAGATTTTTTATTTTTGTCAAATGCATGTTCATATTTTTTATATTCGTATTTAACATCATTAAATTGTTGAAGAGTCTTATTTTGGGATAAATCTGTTATTATTTCAATATTGTTATTCATCTTTGTGGAGCGTGTATCCTAAAATATATTAATACCTTGTAATTACATTGGAGTTATTTTACCTTTTTTTTTTCGTTTATTTCTCTTTTTTTTAACATACCGTCTGAGACAAGTGACGAGGATGTGATTCAGATGTAATATTATTAATTTTAGTTGGTACATAATATTTTTTATTAAGCAGATATTGTCGATAAGACGGCATTTGATACATATTTCTCTCCAACCAATTCTTTGAATTATTATTTAAACGATTTGATGAAACTGCCTATTGATGAATACGTAGAATTTTAATTGACATCAGCTATAAATGAAAAATCACATTATATGGATCTATTTAAATGGATTACGTTTTTTATATGACTGGGAATCATAGAAATCTCGCTCTCAGAAAAACCTCGAAAAGGAAAAGTTTCGGACAGTGACGACTTAAAATTCGAATTTTTATCGCATAACAAATTTTGCTTTGGTGATGAAACATCCGTCACTCCATCCACATTTTTAATATCAGGTATATTTTGAAGTGTATTGCTGCTAATATAATAATATGAGATATGAAATTATATAATAATAAAAAGATTACACTGTATAAAAAAAGCTTACTTTTCCTGCAGATTAACTTTAGAAAAACCTGTAATTGTATGAAATACTTCTTTAATCGTTTGGTCTGATATGTTATCTGGAGGAGGAATCATTGAAAGTAATAACTGCTTTTTTTGGAAATCATAATCTTCTAGTAAAGCTTGGACTTTTCTCAGCACACATTCATATGCACTAATACCATCTTTTGGTTGATATATATGTAATAATTGTGTGATTATATTCGAAATGTTGTTTCCCTCGTAATCATGATGTATAGCTGAATATAATGATGAGAAATCTATTGTTGATGTAATGGGAGCAGTATCATTTATATCTCCTAGTTAAATAATATATTTTAATTAATTTTTTTATTAAAACTAAAAATTAAATCCTATTTTTTATAATAATTTTGTTTTATATACATAAATCTTAAAAAATAAATTAATTTTATATAGTTATATTGTTTCTGTTTACAACTATAAAATATCAGGTTTGACCACGATAGAGTCATATAAAGATACACGATTGAATGGAATTGACAACCACAATATATGCAACTATTATTTTTATTATTGGATGATTATATATTGAAGTATATTACTCACGCTGCTCAAAATTATCCATATTCGTAGTAATGTAAGAGTGATAAATATTTTATAACGACTTTAGGTATCCTACCAAATTCGATGAGTCAAAATAAGGTACTCGTGAAATAATTGAAGTATTTCCATTATTGAAAACAGCTGACGATGCAATATACACGGCTCATTTGTAAAATGACTAAAATCCGATCGCATCCGTAAAATGATCTATTTATATACATAGTGAATAAAAAAATAAGCGACTTTGAAAAGAAAAAAAATAATTTCTTATATTACAATTATGTATATATTTTTTAAAATAAATGTTAAACGCGTTGTAGTTCTCTCATCTTTCTTTTATTTAATATTCTTCCGTTGATAAAATACGATTATCTCCACTGTTTAAAATAGACATACTTACGCTTTTAAGAAGGAAATTGCATTTCTCTGAGATGAAATTGTTTCGGTTAATTAAAACACATCTGTAAGTTCTACATATGGCGAGTGGATTATTTTAATGAGGCTCCGTTGCGGAGCACTCTCTCATGCATTATCTATGCATGTAGATAATCCTGGAGACTTTGCAAGGATTATTAGTTAATGGTTATTATAAAAGCGAGTTCATGGCATGGACCAAGTTACTCAGTACAATGTTCCGACAAAAAGCACTTCTACTTTCCACCTGCCTGTTGGCATTCGTTGCCAGTTTAACTTTGGCACTTCCACCCGGAGCACCATGGACAAATTTTGTGTCTAATCCAGGTAAGTTCTTTTTATTACTCTGTGTAAAAAATTATATACAGAAACTTATTAATTATATATTTAAAAAGAACTTTGTTATTTATTTTAAGAAAGTATAGATTTCTTTATCTTCAAAATGTTCTAAATCTAAATTCAAATAATCTTCTGATATTAAGTATAAAATAGAAAATTTAATTTCAAATAAGAAACTTACATAATTACTTTCTATTTCAAAATTTTAAGATTATAAAACATGTATTATTATCTCTAAAAGGATCAGTAGAAATTTAACATTTGGTTTTAAATGTAGATTTCTTGATTTTTAATCCCTCAATTAATGTCTTTTTGCACATAAAAAATATGATTGGATATTGTAATTATTTTGAAATTTATAGTTTATTCGCGAGCTCTTGGTCCTCCAGGAGGAATAGACACGATATCTGTACCCTATATGCCAAAATCTCCGTTTACGCCAAAGTTCGTCGATCCAAAGGCGTTTATTTCTAAAAAGACAGATATGCTGAGTAACTTATTCGGCGGTATAGGACCAGTAACGTATAACGTAGCAGATACCAAACCAATTATCCCATATGGCATAAGTGGACTGGCTTCAGATAATACTGATAGTGCAAATGCATTTAATAAACGAGCCATGCTACAAGATGATAGAGAAAAAATTATTGATGGCAGCAGCATGTCTAAACGCGGTATGTTTGGTCCGTTTGCTCCAAAGTTCGGCCCAATGAGTTCCGTGGGTTCGATAAGTCCAATGGGTCCGAAATTCGGTCCCATTACACCATTTTCATCAGAAACAATGCCCGATTTTATGGGTAAAACACCTTTCTCCCGAAGAAGAAGAAGCATAGAAGTACCTTCTTCCGCAGACAACATTAATACTATTTCAGACTCATCATCTTATCCAAAAATAGTAGAAAGTATGTCGGCAACAAAACCAGCGGCTGGTGTGCCAAAGGAATATTTACCGGGAATGTTTGGATCTTTCGGACCAGGCGGACCTTTTGCACCAAGTAGTTCTTTTGGACCAGTGGTGGACCCAAGTGCGGTCATTTCAAAGAAATCAGAATTCCTGGACACGCTTTTCAAAAATCTTGCCACTAGCACTCCAGCGTCAACAACCGAAGTACCTACGCCAAAGAGCACTATTGTACCACCTAGTTTTTGGATACCATCCTCTGTAATTCCTGGCTCAACTGAATACACCCAGAAAGTGTCTGATTTTCTGGATAAACTATTTGACAGTATAAATGTAACTGCATCAGAAGTAAGTGATGATTCGGACTCAAAAAGCGATTTTCTGAGGTCTCTAAAACCCGACGACAGTTCATCAGACAAAATCGCAAGATCCTTAGATGATGCATCATCTATTGCAGCTGCTAAAGATGCAATTGTCGATACGATATTGTCAGAACTTGGTAATTTAAAAGGCGATATGATAGCGACTTTAAATGATTTAATCGCATATGAAAAAAATGCGGCAGCCGTTGCTGCTACGGCGAAGAAACCTTTTAAACCTTTCTCCGGTGCATTTCCATTTGCGAAGCCAACAATAGATCCAACACTTCCATTCCAGCAGAGAATGACTGTACTTAGCCAAGTATTTGATATGCTAACGGAGCTGCAAAGAAACATCAGTGTGGTTGCGAAAAATGCGATAGCAACTAATGTTAGCGCACCAGATAATCCGGAATTACCGAAGACTCCATTAGCTAATGGTGCAGTTGGAGCTTCACCAATTAACAACACTCTCTTAAACGCCATTCTGAAGAAAATATCCACTATGGACACTGCAACTCCGGCTTCCTATTCGGCTTCTTACCCAGCTTCTTATTCAGTAGATCCCATCAAAGAAAATTCTATAATGAGCAGAGCTTTATCCAAAGGACCAACGTCTTTCTGGCTGTCTTATCCTGAGAGTTCGGCGCCTGCTGTGAAACGACAAACAGACGATGATTCACTACCGTTCTTCGGGTATGAAAATGACAATGATCGACATGATCATAGCCAATATAGGAGAGGTGTACAAATGAAGATGCATCAAGGCTACCAAAGTCTACCTGCAGGTTCGGTGGAATCTGTACAAGCAGGGGGAGGTTCTACACCTGGACATCAAGGAGGAGGAATCAAGTTGTTGGTAAGTGCGATTTTATTTTGAAAGACGAGTAATTTTAATAATAATTAACTAAAACATTAAGAGGAAAAATAATTTGAACCGTTCATCACGATATAAAAGTACCTACATCAATTCTATTTTACATAAAAATGTTACTACGTCTAGCTGTGACATTTATAATAGTTCTCATTAAAACTTACAAATTTATAATAGTGCAATTTGTTACAATAATTTATAATGAAAACCTTGAATTATAATAGAAAAAAATTCGAAAAGTTTTGAAATTTAGTTATACCACAGTTTTAAAAATAATTTGCAATAATTGATGTTATATAAATATATTAATTACATAAATAAATTAGATCAATAAATATATTAATTAGATAAAATTATTAGTGGATGTATATAATTTTCTCTCTTTTTAATGTTTCAGTTATTATTATATCATATAATTATATATTATTATCTTGGAATGATATTTTAATGTTATTATTAACGTCAACGCTTTGCATTTTCTTCCTTTTTTAATATATGTATATAAATGTTATGACGTTTATAAAATGTACAGAAACCTCTCTTTGAACCGGTAGTATAAAAAAAAACATGTTATAGCATCAGAGATGATTCTTACTTTGTTTACCATTTCTTAAATCTACTCCTAAAAACTTTATTTATTCGACTTTACTAAGAAATTACGAAAGTTAAATTAAATATTATAACAACAAAACAATAAAATAATTATTTGATAATTTAATGCAAGGCAATGTGCATATATATTATATATACAGTTTTATGTTGTAATATAAGTGTAAGTCCGGATCTACAATGCATTTTTAAGCCTTATGTTATAAGAAATGGACAAATTACAATCGATTATTCTTCTCGTATTTGACTATAATTGGTAAATTTCTTAAGGCTTAAAACATCTATTGTAGATCCGGACTAATAGTATAACACGCTATAATACTTTGGAAGCCTATGTACAAAAATTATTGCATTCGGAGAACAGGAAGTTATAAATTACCTAACATTTTTCGCCGAAGATCTTTTTTTTCTCCTCTCTATTCAATCGAGTAATGCTCGCACAAAACGATAAAATATAATAACCTCATTTGTTTTCAGATTCAAATGCCTAAATTGCCTAACTCTCAACCTCCAGGCTTTCAAAGTATTAATTACAGTTAAGTACGCGTAAAATGTCTGAATTATGAATATTGCGGGCATCTGTTCATCTGTCGTAGGAGCCTAACGCTTACGGAAACTTGAACAAATGGGCTGATTGGATGCAGTATCACAAGAATGAGTATCAAGATCGTAGGCACCATCATAACCACCATTAGGCCACTCAGTCAGCAGGACTATTTTTTTCACTATATTTACATAATTAGTTCTCAATGAAAAATTTTTTAAAATATTGTTATTTAAAAAGTATA